TATATGGTAGATTTTCCTTCAAAATCTTGAAAATGGCACCAAAAGTTCACCCAGATTTCATTACGTAAAGGTCCTGGACCTACGGCACCATTCTACAGTGCTTTTCCAGGACACAATAGTATGTCAGACAAAAGCGGCGACGATGCAGAAAAGTCTGCCTCTTCGATCCCCAAAAAGACTTTATAGAAAACGGGCGCTTATCGCAGACCCACGCGAGCCCCTTCCACCGTGCGCTGTCGCTCCCTAGGGGCTGCAGGAGAGCGGCAGTGCTTTCACGGGGACGCACATGCGGCACGAAGTGAGCCGTGTGTCTGGCGACGCCCCTCACCCGCCCACACTACCGCCCCGTGCCCCGAGCGGGCAGCCGTCCTCCGCCACGGTCGGGGCCAGCTCTGCACGTCGCTGTCAGAGGATCACGCATTTAAGGACCTCAGAAGCCGAGTGCCGAGCGTGCTGGTGCCATGAGAAAGCCAGCCCCCACTCGCGTCCTAGGCTGAAAGCACTTTCCGCAGGGAGCCGTTTGCGTCTGTTCACGGCGTCTGGGGACATGCTGGGTGACAGGAAATTAGAGAACTTGGAGGCGACTGGTGAGAAAGAGGAAGAGAAAGTGGAGTTTGGGGGTTTCCAAGGGAGAGGTAGTGGCGACGGCAAAGAATGCCATTTTTAGGACTTGGACCAGGCGCAGCTATTCCTCTGTCCACAACACAGGTACCAGAATCGTTTATAAACACTTTATTCGGTTCATCATGGCGGGCAGGTTCCCAGCTAATGCACAGACACAAGCAAGGTATTCCTGGGTTACTGCGGGAGCCCGTGGTTACATGGGACTGAGCACCGAGGCCAAGGGGAGGGCACTTAAGTCTCGTGTCACACTCAGCCGGGGACTGCGAGGCGTTTTCAACATCAACAGCGTCTCGGTAACGTTAGGGGAACAGACACCAGAGAAGTGGAACTGCGTCCTGGTGTACCTCAACTGTCGCTGCTTCCTAAGTCGCACGCTAGCATGTGAACGAGAATTCTAGAACAGGCCAGCAGACTGCTGAAACCTCTGCTTCCTCCCTGAATGCCCACCCTCAGCCACACAGCCTGATGCTGAAAGTCTCAAGAGCTGCTCAGGTGACAACAGCTATTTCCAAAGCAGCCTCTTGTGCAGTCTATGACGTCAAAGGAAGGAAGGGTCTGTGGTTAGCTACCTCGGTGAAGAATCACCCACCCTGACCAACGGTATCTGAAGCGTAACGCGGATGACAGATTTAGGGAGTGGAATATGAATAAAAGTAGGAAACTCCAGAAAGCTACGATCTACGGGGACCGGGCCAAATAATCACCAGTCACCAGATGGTCTCGCCACAAAACTGTGGCTCACGTAACTCTTAGAAACACACTGGTGTCCACAGCTAATACTCTACAAACTGCGGGTGATCTGCATCCTGTCTCTAGGTCTGCGATGTCAGGGGCTAGCTCGACCCTCCTGTAACCCCGGGGAAGACGCTGAGCGGGAACAGGAGTCTCGCCACCTACACTGCTTTGAAGGCAAGAAAGGCCTGTCAGGATGTAGGAGCTCCACAAACAAGTTTGGCTTATGTTCTGAAGGGCACCTTGAGTTCCATTTGTCACTTTTCTGAATTGATCTTTCAGGAACAGACTTAAGGACATTTTACTGGGATGTAACTTTTTGGCAAAATAGAAACTTTGGTCATAGCCATAGTTCTATAAAAATGTTTCAAAGAGGTTATTATTTCTGATTAAAATAATATTTTTAGGAAATTATACAAAACAGTTACAAGAAAGTAAACATCTATCTAGTGTAAGAGCATAAACTCTTTACCAGCATCTTATTTTAAATACAGCGAAGAGTCAGTAGTGCTTATAAACAGTGGAGAGTTCTCTTAGAAGGAATCAGAAAAGTAGCAAATAAGGCACAGCCTGTTACTGTCAGATATGAGTTAAGCAGTAGTGTTCTTTCTGGAAGGCACAAACTGGAAATCTGATTACCCAAAGTTTAAAATGTGGCTCTGAAGATAATCGTATAACAAGGATGCTAACTTGGAAAAAATTCCCTTAACTGGAATTAACGGCAATTAATCAAGGCATTACTTCTAGGTTATAACACTCTGGAACTTAAGAAGTCCTTTTCATCAGCCCATGTGTAAATTTGTAAAGGCACTGTGCAAAACGTGGGCTGGGCTGACTACATTTCCAGTTGGAGTGCATTTTCTTTTTTAAAAAGGCACATTTCCTAGAGATCAAACTTTACATTAACGAACAGAAAATAATCATTTTAGATACAACAGTAGGTAAGCTTGATAATATAGCAGGTTCTAAGTCAAAAGTCTTGAAGAGGTTTCTTGAACAGCAGGCTGGAGTTTCGCTGGCTCCTCACCGAGAAACACTCCACACTAATAAGCAGGGAGATGCAAGAAAGCAGGGAAGACTCAGTTAGGTTTTCTGTACGAACCCGGAATTAACGTCGGACGCTAGTCTAGATGTGAACGGAAATGGGACTGGGCTGATTTCTCACCAGCGGCTTCCCTGCACTTAGCGGAGACTACAGGAGGCTGTTGAAAGGATCGACGTTCCCACGTACTGGGCTGAAAATGGCAATGGGTTGCTCCAACATCGTATATACTAGCAGTAGTGATAATAATAATAGTAATAATAGCGGGGTGTGTATTTATTTATGACCTATTATCACATGCCAGGCACCATCTTAAGCACTTTTTATATATTAACCAGCTTTGTCCTTAGAGCAAACATATGAGGGAGGTATTTTTATTGTCGCCATTTTACAAATGAGAACGCTGAAGTTCAGAGATATTAAAATACCTGCCCAGGCCACACAGCTGGATGCTGGTGGAGCTAGGGCGGATTACAGGCAGTCCATGCTCTCAATGACTAGACTGTACCGTTTCTCACAAAAGGAAATATCTGCTGAGAAAATATTCAGAGAGAAAACTGAAAGGTCAGTGGAGATGAACACATTTTCTCTCATTTCAAAGGATTTATGTTGATATAAAAAAATCTCAGACTTTAAACATATAACACTCAAGTATTTAAAACATTTACTAAAGAAAACGAAAATCCCTGGACTAGACTAACAGTTCTAAGGAAACTTTACTCTGAGTTCCTCTACATTGGTGGTCCCTAACCTTTGTGGCACCAGGGACCGGTGCTCCTATGAGAATCTAATGCCTGACGATCTGAGGCAGAGCTGAGGCGGTGATGCTGGCGCTGGGGAGCAGCTGCAAATACTGATGAAGTTTGCTCGCTCACCCGCCACTCACCTCCTTCTGTGTGGCCCAGTTCCTAACAGGCCAGGGACCGGTACCGGTCCAAGGCCCGGGGGTTGGTGGCCCCTCTTATACCTGAAAACAACTGTAAACACACAAGCTCCAAAGAGTTTGAAGGAGGAGAACTCACCGATGATGATGATGATGATGATGACCACAACGCTAATCCCTATCGCCCACATCTGAAACGAAACATGTGCCCACATCACATTTCAAAAAGAGAGATTAACGTGCTTACTAAAGAGTATCGTGCAGTATCACTGTGGTCACTGAAAAAAGAGAAACTCAGGTGCACGACAACCTGAAATAATCTGTAATTTTTAAGTCTAAATTTAACGCTCGCAATTAGGGCCTGAGGTTCCTTATCTGCTCTTCATAAGATGTTCCAGTACTTGCAATCCCTAGACAGGCACTTGTCTGTATACACAAGGAGGGGCTGCTAAACCTGCCCATGTACGTGAAGGTGTCCCTTCTAAGCCAGGAAGCGGGCAGGATATGCTTGGCATCTGATGGAAGCACGTTTCGTTGGCAGTTGTGTAAAATCTGCTCTGGTTTACACTTCTCACGTGGCTGCTTTCTGCTCTCCTGTGGGGCACACTGTAGCTTTCGAGAAGCTCCTTCCTCTGCCACCGGAGCCAGTCACAGAACCATATGCAAACTGGCCACCAATGCCAGCCCTCTCCCAGCAGTCCGTGTTCAGGGCTCTGCTGGGGTGGAGGGTTGGAAGGGGCTCATGTCTGTGACGGATTCTGGACACTCCTGTTCTACGTGCTTAAGATCTGGTTGTGGGGTTAGGAAAGGGGATGCGGTCAGTGTGCTACAGTCGGCCAGTCCAAACTTCCACGTGTGGGCCATCGAACTCGCCTCCCAGATTCACGGCAGCCCAACGTTTGTAGCCTTTGTCAACCCCCAAGAATGCAGCGGGCGACTTAATGTAAAGAGGAGCTAACGAGAATCACCTTGCAATTCTTCCACCAATACTTTCTCTTCAACTTGGCAGCACTCGTTTCAAACTGGGAGGCTCCTGCCTGCAGCGCGTCCGCGCGGTCATCTAACTCGGAGAGCTTCTGGTCTCTTTCTAACACCTTATCCACGTTGACTCTCATGATGTCCACCACCTGAGTGAATGGGATCAAACCAAGTTACAGGTAAATGCAACAACAAAAGGTCTGCACTTTATTACTTGAAGCCAAACTTTCATTTTTTAAGAGAAGGAGCTCACCATTTCATGATAAAAACACTAGGTAAACTAGGAGAAGGAACCTCCTTAACATGATCAGGGGCATTTATGAAAAAACCCACAACTAACATCCACGGTCAATGGTCAAGATCAGGGAACAAGGCAAGAACGCTCACTTTAAATACTGCGGTTCAAGATTGGGAAGTTCTGGCCCAAAGCAATTAGAGGAAGAAGTAAAATGATCCATATTTGCAGATGATTCCATATATAGAAAATCCCAAAGAGTCCACAATAAAAACTTACTGGAGTTAATAAACAAATTCAGTAAAGTTTTAGGGTACAAGGTCAGCACCCATAAATCACTGTTTCCATATAGCAGCAATGAAAAGGAAATTAAGAATACAAGTCTGTACACAATAGCATCCAAAAGAATAAAATATCTAAATACAAACTGAACCAAGGACACAAAAGACTTGGACACTGAAAACTACGAAACACTGATGAAAGAAATTAGAGACCAAATTAAATGGGAAGACATCCTATGTTCATAGACTGGAAGATTCAGTGTCGTTAGGACGGCAGCACTCCTCAAAGCGATGCACATGTGCACAGATTCAACACGATCTCTATCAAAAGTCACTGGCCTATTTTTGCAGAAATGGAAAAGCCAATCCTCAAATTCATACAGAATTGCAAGGGAACCTGCCCAGACAAAATAATATTGAAAAAGAAAAAATTGGAGAATTCACACTTTCCAATCTCAAAACTTACTACGAAGCTATGATAATCAAGAGTGCGATTCTGGCACGAGGGCAAATGTACAGACTGAGAGTCCAAAGTCAACCCGAACATCTGCTGCCAACTGATTTCTGACAAGGGTGCCGAGAGCATTCAATGGGAAGAACGGTCTCTTCAACAAATGGTACTGGGACAACTGGAGAACCACATGCAAATGAAGGATGCTGGATCCCTAGGTCACCTCATACATAAAAATTAACCCAAAATGGATCAATGAGCTAACTGTTAGAAGAAAATATAACAAGAAACCTTTCTAGCTTTGAATCTGGCCATGGATTTGACACCTAAAGCAAGAGCAACAAAAGAAAAAATAGATAAACTGAACTTTATAAAAATTAAAACCTCTTGTGCATCAAAAAACATCATCAAGGATATGAAAAGACAATCCGGAGAATGGAAGAAAATATTTGCAAATCATATATCTGAAATAGACTTAATATCCAGAATATATAAAAAACTCTTATTACTCAACAACAAAAAGAAAAACTAATCAATTTAAAAAAAATAGGCAATAGACTTGAATAGACATTTCTACAAAAAACATATACGAATGGCCAATGAGCACATGAAAGATAGGTAACATCGCTGGTCAATAAGGAACTGTAAATCAAAACCACCATGAGATACTATTCACTAGGACGGCTATCACACAAAAAAGGAAAATAACAAGTGTTGGCAAGGATGTGGAGAAATAGGAACCCTTGGACTGTGCTGGTGGGCTATAAAATAGCGCAGCTGCTATGGAAAAATCTGATGCTTCCTCAAAAAGTTAACCAGAAATACCTTATGATGCAGTCATTCTACTCCTTGGTACATACCCAAGGGAAATGAAAACATATGTCCGCACAGAAATTTGTATGCAGATGTTTACAGCAGCATTATTCACAATAGCCAAGAGGTGAAAACAACTCCCAAATCCATCAACTGATGAACGGCTAAACGAATTAAGGTATATGCATGCAACGGAATATTACTCAGCCATAAAAAGAAACGAGGCACTGATATTTGTTATAACTTGGATGAATATCAAAAACGTTATGCTAAGTGAAAGAAGCCAGACACAAAAGGCCACATAGCGTACGATCCCTTTTATACGATATATCCAGAATAGGAAAATCCACAGAAATGAAGCTGCTTAGAGGTTCCCAGAGAATGAGAGAAAGGGAATGGGAGTGTGACAGAATGAATACGGGGTGTTCTGGGGTGATTATGAAAACTGTGCAATGGACGGAGGTAATGGTTGCGCAGCACTGTGACTATGTCAAATACCCCTGAACTGGACACTTTAAAATAGGTGATATGTGAATTTCACTTCAGTTAAAAGAAAATAACTCTCCGTAAAATTCCTTTGGTTAAGAAAAAGGACCCAATTTGATTTTTTAAGTAAACAAAGTTTCATGCAGGATGGAATGAGCATGGGTTTATAGCATGAAAATACCAATTTTTCAGAAGTTCATAAACAAAACCATCACACCAAAATATCACCATATGCTTTACCAACCCATTGTAACTAACATCAAATTTAAAGCAGCTTTTTAAGGACACTACATGCAGAAAGATCAAGATACCCTTGTTGGACAGTGACAACTTTTAGGAACATGGAAATATGAGTCTGAATTTCTCAATCTTCCATTGTGGGTTTGCACATACAAGAATTCCACAAATCGGATTTGTTGGGCCAGAGCAGTTTGCCAGCATCTGCCTTCTGAACGTCAAGGGACAGGAGCACCAATCGGAGCTGAATTCTACAGAGTCTGCTCAGGCTGGGTGACTGGGAAGTCAGGCTGCTGCAAGAGGATTCTGATGAGAAATCTGCTCAGAGGGTTGGCCTTGGCCTGAGCAATTTATAGACCTAACTCTTAAAATTCTATCACCTTATTTTATAAAGTAGTTCTCTTTTTTCTGGGTTTTTTTTTTTTTTTTTTTTTTTTTTGGTATGTGTGTGGCAAAATATATATTATAAAATGGTTGTTGGGGGAACATCTCAGGGAGGGGTGTCTGCGTTTTAGGTATGTAATTTGGTCACACAAAAACAAGCATGGTAACAGGAGAATCTGACTCCTGCTTAGATGAGGGCTTCCAGAACATCAGGGGACAAAATTTTGATACATTTATGATACAGTCAAAATTTACTTCCTATTCACACTTTTATACTTTTTCTGAACAATTACTTCCATAGTGTTCCCATGCTGACTTAAAATTCATCTTTTCAACATTTCAGAGCAATACCTCGTCCACTTGATTTTGTGTCTGCTGAAGTCTTCGATTACTGCCAGAGGCAGCGCTTGAACCCGCAGGCACGGCTGCAGACCTGAAGCATGGAAAAGCACGGGCATCAGTAAATTACAACTCCAGACATATCTTTCTAAGTATAAAGATGTTATCCCAGGACCCTCGGTGTTAGGAATTTGAGAACTAAAGCAGAAAAAGAAACCCTTCCAGCAGTAATGAAAGAAGGTTCTAATGACATTTCTCCTAATTCCTCTATTATTTCCAAGATTCACTCACATATTAAACATGACCAGCATCTAAAGCAGGTGTCTCTAACCCCTGGGCCACGGACCAGTACCAGTACTGGTCTATGGCCTGTTAGGAACCAGGCCACACAGCAGGAGGTGAGCAGCGAGAGAGCCAGAGAAGCTTCATCTGTGTCTGCAGCCGCTCCCCAGCGCCAGCATCACCGCCTCAGCTCCACCTCAGATCATCAGGCATTAGATTCTCATAGGAGCACCAGTCCCTGGTGCCAAAAAGGTTGGGGACCACTGGGCTAAAGGAAAGGTTTAATAGGATCTACTTTGTATCACTGAAGCACCTGATCCTAAAATAGAGAAACTCTACTTTCCAATTTACTACTTTTTTTAAGCCACACATCTATTTAAGTGT